GTAGACCAGCTATTAGATCATACAGTTCTGATTCTCTGCTATGGGACCGTACGTCCCCAATTCCAAGCGCTACTTTGATCGTCGGGTATTAGGTTGAACATGACTATCAACACATTGGTTAGAATCTCTGATTTCTGGTCCGAACTTCAGCTTCACTCACGCCCACCAATGGCACCGAATGTATCGTCAAGTTGTTCGAAGATATTCGCAGATGGGTATTCAGATGGTTCGATGGGCGCCTGTACTGGTCGGTCGTTTACCTTACTATCATCATGTATTGCCTGGGGTGTGTCTGGAGGCTGTCTCGAACGGGCCGCTGTGTGAACTTTTGACGCTGGAGCTGGAGGATGATCGCGGCAGACTTCTCGCTCGGATGGGGAACAACTCCCAGTATGGTCTATACGGGCCGGTTGTACACTTGAAATAGCACCCCTCTCAGATATTTCCCTAGGAAGACTTGTCTCTAGCCCCCCTCTCAAAGCACCGGACATTTCTCGCTCGATAGTCACTTTTAGCAACTCCGTCAGAAGCTGTGCAGTCTGCTTAGCAATACGATTGTGGGGCCCAAAGGCTGTGCTAGCATGAATAATACGCATGATTCCAGCCTTGGCCTCGTGCGCAGCTGTAGTGAATGGTTGACTAGTAGGCAGGATGCAAAGGATGACTCCTGCAGTAAATTGTTGTAGAGAAGTGAAGGATTCGGCGAAATGATGCTCGAACCGGAGGACCGGGATGCGAGATATTCGCAATGCAGCTGCTGTGGCTACTTTTAATGACTCGTTCATTGCGTCTACCACCGAGCGCGAGCAAGAACCGGTGATTTTCTGCTCGAGTAAAGGCCGATGAGCTTGTATCAGAGCTCCATCGTATGTCAGTTGGAGAGTTGCTGCCTGCAAGATGATTGTTTCTGCTTGGTATTGAGTGCGATGTGATAACCCTTTAATTTGCTTTTGGAACTGCTCTAGGCGATTGTCGGAGCTCCAAAACTCGAAATCGAACATCCGAGGAACCCTGTTCCGCCAGGAGATTAATTGCTTCTCTGAGTCTTGTGCAGCTTCTGCAATTGCTAGAAGGTCCTCGTTGATTGTCTCTTTTCTTAATTGGAGACGACGAAACCGCGAAAGGATGTGTCGAATGATGTTGTAGATCTCATATTTCATAGTGAAAAACCCAGCTGTCGTTGTTGGCATTCCATTACCAGATATCGATTCATTTTTCAGCAGAAGTGGATCAATGGCTAGGTCATCCATATCTCTGAGCGAATGCAAAGCGACAAGCCCGGTATCGATAGAGGAAGGCCGCCCATAGATGATAGATGCAAACGTGTCGCTGACAATAGCATGATTCCAGCAGCGAGAGCGAATCTCATCCACGACTGGATCTTCACATTGCGCTGATTTTGTATAAAGACGAAGGGCATACGCAGACCTCACACCCATACCAGAAACAGTCCAAGCAATACTCGGCGAACTATGATAAACATAATAGCAGGACACCAAGAGGCATACCTGGACAGCTTCAATTCGACAGTCGAATGAGATATCGAGCAGATTCCGTCGTATCTCATTGATCAACCCGTGCATCAACTTATGCCCGTCAACGGAATGTTCGCGCAACAATTTGTGTCCAGGCCATCTCCGATCTGGTAGCACGGATTGCAGCCCAATCATAGCCACGGCCAGGACAGCCATGGTAGGACTGAGATCCTGGCGTCTCCATGAGGTTTGGGAGATTATCCTGCGTGCGGTCTGTCGGAACGAGGGCTCATGGAATATCAAGATGAACCATTGCATTCGGTCGAAATAGACGTCGATCAGAGCTAACATCACGGCCTCTGGGGGAAGTTCCACTTCCGTTAAATGCCATAATGAGTTGTCTATCGCAGGAGCTCCTGTATCACCGGGTATCGACGCACCGGTCAGAGTCCGGCCAGCTTCTTCCTCGTTGAAAACTTGTCTGGCGAAGTCAATTGCAGAAGCATTAGCGCCAGACTGAGGCTCTTTTGGGGAGCGTTCCGAATAAGATGCTGAGCTCTCTGGGGCATAAGATATCCCAGCTCCTCCAGTACCATGGATAGAGTTAGAATTCTTGTGCGTCGCTGGTGCGATTGCTTTGTGTACTCTAGGATTCACATGCAAATTTCTGGCCCCTGGATTTTGTCTACGAGTCCGTTTTGCCGTGCGCGGAGATGTCTCGCATTTGTGTCCAGCGCGAGCACATAGCACACAAGGACGTGAGCTGTCGCACTATACGAACGCTATCAGGACCCTGGTTTCACATTAGGGGTGTCGTGAAGGGATCTACCTTGAGCTTCTGGCGGCGACATCTGTCACATGCTCGCGATGTACGGAGTGTCTTCTGCAACAGACCCGTTTCTTCCTCCATGAGTATAAAGATAGTACTCTATCCAGTCCCGTACAGAGATCGAAATCTGCAGGTCCCGTGTCACTAGAGATCACAAATGGGGTTACAACTGGGGTCCCCCGCACTTTCGGCGTGACCGAATAGCCGCGGGGAACCGAGCTTAGCGTACGCCCCACAAAGTATAAGAATAGAATAGAATAATAGTTAATAATATCTTGATTGATTTCATTCTGTGTACGCTAGAATAACCAAATGCTTTTAATTGTATCAAGTTGTGATCAAACCCAAGAGATGTCCACGAGCATTCTGCGCCTGTGAAAGAACAATCTCGGCCGCGGGATATGTTTGTAGTAAATGCCCAGCCGCTTCCTCGCAGGCGTACAAGTTCGACATGGCCTGCATCCTCACTATACTATCCGAACCTTTCAGGTCGGGGAGACTTGCCTCCACAATAATAATCAATATAGTAACAGTGCTTCCAGGGAGAAAATGAAGCATCTTGCAGTCATGCAGCTCATTGAGAATCTCATTGACTTGGAAAGTCAACCCTCTCATTTCTGAGACAAGGGTAGTCTGGAGACCATCTCCTCTGCTCGACGCAACTTGATAGAGTATGGACATCGTAGTGAGATGGAGGAGATATAGGAAAGCCTGGTGAACGAGTAGGACAATCTCCGGAGACTCGGTATGACAATCGTGCAAAAGGGATGGGGAGAAATAATGTGCTGGGGCAGGAAGGTTCTGAATCCAGGTTTTCAGAAGCTGTTCACATCCAGTTATGGCCGCCTGAGATATATTTGACCTAGGCACCATGGAGTATTCACAGTCCCCCGACTGTGACGTTGACCAATCATCTTGGTAAATAAGCTTGATGATGACGCCCAAACAATGAGCAAGTTTAATCTCCTGAATAAACAGAAGCATCATTCGCTCTTGATTTTCCCAGTTGAGCATAACAGATGCTTCTCCCAGCATAATCAGTACGAGGCCATGGTATGGCTCGGAGGAATAGTATCTCGTAGATTCCAATAGCGACATTGTGACATCGCTGTTTGGGATTCGTAGTGGTCGACGGAAGCCGAGTGAGAGAATGCGGTCGCGCACATAGAGACACCACCACAGCCTGTGCCTGTGAGAAAAACTACCTGTTTCTAAACTCGCCAGGAGACCGACGCGCTCTGCTGTCGAATAGGCGAGATCAAACCAGTATGTTGGGTCTTTGTGGCCGCCTCCACTTCCATGCCACTGCATCATGAGCAACAATGCTTGGATCTGGGTATACGCGTCGGGTTCGGTCTCAAATTCATAAAGAAGCTGATGGTAGAGTCGAAATTAGTCTTGGCTTGCCATGGATTTCATCTTCTCCAGATATCTCACCTTAGCTCGTCCAAATAATGTTCTTCGCAATGCTTTCCGTGATGAGAACCCAGCTTTGACGGCAGTTTCCTGCTCAATAAATGCACTTCCAGCCAACATGACAGCTTGATGAAGAAGTGGGCTCCGGAATTGAGATTCATCCTCTACCATGACATTTAATAAAAACCATTGCAGATCAATGACAGGTAGGAGAGGATGAACATATTTGATATAAGCCCCAAGCAACTCATTCCGAAGATCGATGGGAACTATCCTGAGAGCTCCTTTCAACTGTAGATATTCTTTACTTTCCTCCGAGAGATTCGGAAGCCGAGCTTCGAAAGTTCGCTGCAGTTCGAATGGCTGATTGTACTCCCCTAGAACAAAATCTGGGGTCTGCGGCGAGAGCAGCTCATTTATCGTCGTAAGATAACTGTCTAAGGGATATGTCTGCGGCACATTTTGCGTCAAGGTCATATGTGGTTGATCAGATATCGGCTTACTCCCCGATGTGACGAACTGCGCAAAGGGACCTAGCAATGTCAACAACTATGTGGAGAATGGGGGTATATGCTTGGCACATGTGTCTTATTTCTTACCTAGATCATCCCCGCCTCTTTCTAACCGATCTACATCCTCGGCATTGGAGAAAGCCGCCAGTAGACCGCTAAGAGAAGACGACAGATCCATCGGCACGGACTCCGATCGTTTCTTCCGGTTGCTGCTAAGGGGATTAGCGCTAGTATAACCTCTATATGCAGTTCCTCTTTCGGAACTCTGGGGAAAGATTTACCTTGATTCTTGGTGACACAGAGAAAGAAGTACTCGATTGAATGTGACTGACACGTGAGCCGAGGTCGGTTTTGTACTGGAGTTTTGACTGTCTGCACTCGATACACTCTTTTGATGGCTGTTGAGTTATTTGTTTCAATATTCTTTTCAAATTTCTTATCCCAACTATGTATGTTGTCCTGTGGAGGATTGCCCTTAATATTAATATGAAAGGGGATACGAGAAACCGGCGACATCCGTGGGGAAACTGGGGGCCCCGCATTTTCGAGGATCCGGGACATTTTCTTTGTGTTAATTGGGTATTCCTTGTTTCAAATTTCCAATCTAGACCCTGATCTGCTGAGGAATTGAGGTGAGTGGAACGATCACCTTCCACCGGAGTCCTGGAATGGGACTTCCACCGGAACTTGAGGGACCAATCACAATACCCCTCTACTACCTCACTCTTTAACGAATCGTTCCAAAGCTACGCTGTATTCATCTACCATCTACCAAGGCAACGGACCATCCTTATTAACAAACCCACCAGCCTCCCCATCCCTCTCACCAAGTATAATCCCCAAAATCCCTCTCCCAGCCTCCAACGGATCCCCAGCGCTTCCATGCGCACTAACAGCAGTCTCATCCTCGCCCCTCAGATTCGACCTCACAAGACCAGGACAGAACGCAAAAATACGCACACCACGGCTCTGCAACCGCTTATGCATCTGAACAGTTATCATATTCAGCGCCGCCTTACTTGCGCGATACTCATCCCAAGGCACAGCATAAACTTCACTGCTGGGATCAGTTGCCAGTTTCATCGAGCCCAGACCACTGGAGACGTGGATCAGATAGGGGTTTTCTGATTTGAGGAGGAGGGGGATGAAGGCCTCTGAGACTAGTGTTGCGCCGATCACGTTCGTCGAGAAGATCTGGTTCAGTCTGGCGCGGCCGCTGCTGTTAGGTGCGGCGGAGCCGGCGTTGTTGAGTAGGATGTCGAGTCGATTGAATTGTTTGGATACGGTGTCGACTGCTTGGGCTATGGAGGTGTCGTCTTCCACGTCTAGCTGGAGGAGGGATAGAGTTCCCTTGAGGTCTTTGCTTTGGAGTTCGGAGAGGGCTTGTTGGCCCTTCTTCGGGTCACGGCAGGCTAAGATTATATGGTGGTTCGGGTGTGCGGCGAGAATTTGGGCGGTTGCGTAGCCGACTCCTGAATTCGCGCCTGAATAGAGTTAGTTTCTGGGACTGGGGTTGGCTTTCTAGTTATTGGCCTACCTGTAATGAGAATGACGGTTTGTTGAGACATGCTGTCGTAGTTGCGTTGCTTAATTAATCTGTGGGGAAGGTCTTGGTAAAGAGATCGCGGAAACCCAAATTGACTATTTCACTACGGGTATCATGCACTTCAAATATTAGACAGACCCGATGAGATCTGACTACAATTCGGATATAAGCCCTCTATCACCGTCGGGTGTGATCGGTGTTAAGCCGGAGACCGCGAAGTGCGAATCTCCCGCCAAATGTAGAGAGATATTTGTGTTGAGCTGAACTAGAATAACACCTACAGACATATTATCTGTACATCCTGTCTATCTCGATAAGGGTCCATACTGTCGGATCTTATCAGGAATCTTAGAACACATGAACTATTTATGTTTATGATGTCATGAATCACACTGTGCCACCTGAGATTGCCCAGGTGCGTCACGGTCTCGATCCACCACGGACCGACCAATCACTTCAAAGCATTGTATGTTTCAAAGTTACATTGCAGGCTAAGCTTTCTGAGACCTTGGATCCGAGTATTATCTTAAATGTCCGTCTAGACCGCTGCGGTATATTTGGGGTGTTTAGGCAGCAATTGCGAGAATGAGGTGTAGAAAACTTTCATAGGGCTTTGAATGACTGTGAATATCCAGTTTTCAAAATATCTCTTCCAATTTAAAACAAAAAAATGATGATTCAATACATCGCCAATAGAGGTATCACCGCTGTGCAATCCATACACAAAAAAGAGAGAGAAAAATCAAAAGAGGCAGTATGTGACGAAGACAGGGGTAATATAATGACAGCGAGAAGAAAAGTATAGATTTTACTTTTGCGGGACCCGACGAGTCTTTTGATGACAGGAAATGCAGATAGTTATACACACCCAGCCTACAGGAAGAGGCACTCTTTTGAGTAGACCACATCACTAAAGGAGTATAGACCACCTGCGAGCGGCCATGCCAGTGGCCGCTTGTTTGTCTCTCCTGGTAGCGGTAGTACACAAGAGAGATAAGGGGGAGGATTAAGAGTGTAAGGAAGAGGGAGGAAATAACAAGAGAGAACGATGTGATAAGTTTTCTTTTGATTTTGCCGGCAAACTCATGTCAAGGACGTGACCACGATCCTTGCAGAGGAGGCAGCGGACCCCCAGCTACCGACGGAGACCCAGAAGGCGGGCCAGCAACCGCCCGTCCGGCGGGTGCAATGGGTGTTGAAGAATATGGCGGACTTGCAGGCCAAGCAGGTTGGGACTGGACTGAGTCAATCATTCTTCCCTGGGGAGCGGGACCCGCCGAAGTAGGCTGTGTGCCTGAAGCTGATCGGGCAGCATCGGTGCCCGACCAAGACGTCGTGGTGCCCGGTTCTGACGCAGGCAGGAGGGTGGGTTGGGCGGAGCGTGGAGAAGAGGGTCTTGGGGGTAAGGCGCTCAGGGACATTGTCCGGCCGAGGTGGTCGCGGTAGAAGTCTCGCTCGGAGCGGTAGTGGTCTCGTTGCTGGACGAGGGAACGGAGCTCCTCGCTCTGGCGCCGGACGGTTTCTACGTTGCGCTGGATCTCGTCTTGCTGTGCGGTGAGCCGCTGCTCGAGTTGCATTTCGTTGCGCTTGCGATTGCGGAACCGTCGTGAGGCGTCGCTGTTCGCTTTGCGCTTTTCGGCTTGGCTGGAAGAGCCTGATCGCATGTCTAGTACGCATGGTATCATTCCCACTGGGAGGGGGCTACTCTGTGGTGTTCCGGCTCGTGTGGGGGCTTCGGGTTGGCGCCTAGGGCCTTTTGTTGCGGGGATGGGTCGGGTCAGAGGATCCATTGTCATATATGGCGCAGTGGGATAGGATGCGTTGCTTTGTGCGAGGGATACACTGGTCCCTGCAGGGGATGCATGGTGAAACGGACTGAAAGTTGAATGAGGCGTGCTAGGGCTCGTTTCTTGGGAGTTCGGGTTGGTGAGAGGCCCCGGCCCGGCACTAGTTCGCCGAGAGTGCAGAGTGGTTGTAGAATGCATCGAAGTCAGCGTAGGAGGCTGAGTGGCAGTGAGAGGTGCTATTGGGCGTAGACCCGCCTCTACGGGCAGAGGCGAGTTAGTGACGGGCAGACGTGGGCCCATCAACGGTTCGTGAGGAACTAGCGGTGAATGTGTGACGCTTGACTGACCCGAAGCCCTGCCACCCCCGCCAACGAACCGTGCCGAAGGCGATGCTGGATTCATCAAAGGGCGTGAATGAGACCTGGGAGATAATGGCTGCGACACCGATGCATATCCTGAGCGGATTGTAGGCGAGGTCCCTTGGGGATGAGGCGAGGAAGATGGACCCGGTAGGCTTAGTGGTTCACGGCTGAGTGCAGTCAGGTCAGCCGTCGCCTGTGGGTGATTCAAGATGGCATGAACACCAATGGGTCGAGATGACATGGATTCCAGCGGTGGCTCCACGGGTCCATATGGGTGCCATGACTGGGGTCGAGGTCGTTGAGGTGGCCGGCGGGCAGGATTCCGGTTGCTTGTAAAGGCACGGTCATTGTCACTCGAACGGTCATCTGCTTGAGCCACATCTCTGGACAATGAACCTGCACGTCGAGAATCCTGCGACATAGAAACCAAATCTCCCACGACGGAGCGGGAGTTATGGCATGACCGAAACCCCCCTCTCTCCTCGTCGCTGGGTTCTCGAGGAGTGTGAGAGAGGGAGGGTGAAGGCGATGGATACCTATCTGAGTAAAGTGACAGATTGGGTGAATGTGAGCCCGAATACGGTGCGTTCAACACACTGATCCCTAAGGCAGCCACGATGAATAAGATGAATAAGGATAAGGATGTATAGAACAAGAGACTCGATTCTCTCAATTGAGGATCGAGGAGAAGATAATCAATATAAGGAAGCTAAGGAAGCTAGGAAAGCTAGGAAAGCTAGGAAAGTTGCGGAAAAGATCCGAGGCCCTCAAAAAATTAGAGCTAAGAGGAAAAGAACAAAGTGACGAAAGTCAAGAAACAGAAATTGGAAAACGGGGCAAGCTTAAGAAGAGCGAACCGTTGAAATTTAGCAGCGGTGAGAGAATGATCCATCACCTGGTCTGGATGGCTCCAAGACAACTTAGTTGTCTCTCTGTCCGACCCAGTCTGGCGGATAGTTGGGCATCTCCTATGGAGACACCCTAGTCTAAGTCTAACCCCCGGAGTATTGGGCTTCTTTTTTTTCTTCTTTTTTTTTCTTTTTTTTTTCTTTTTTCTTTATTCTTTATTCTTTTATTCTTGTTTTTTACATTTTACATTTCGATTTTTACTGTTTTAGTTTTTATTTAGATATTAATTAGAATAGTTAAAATAGAAGAAAAGAAAAAAGAAAAGAAATAACAGAAATAGAAATAGAAATAGAAATAGAATATATGCAATATATCCAACATGTCCAATATGTCCAATGTGTCTGTACACTAATATCACCCCCTATTATAACCAAATAGGCACCAAATCCTATAGAGTCCCAAGTCCCATAACCGATAAAGTACCTAAGTACCCGGGGAAAGCGATCGTCATGCACAGCACGAATCATCGGGAGCTGCAAGTGTGCGCCGTCACCATGGACATGGACAGGGACGGGTGGAGACTGCCATTTCTTTTTATTTAGGGGGGAGGGTATTTTTTTCTTCTTCCGTTTTTGCCCTTTTTGCCGCTCTTTTTTTATATATATATTGTTTTTTGTTTCTTTTTCCCCCTCTCAAGCTCGGAAGGTTTGGGGCTTTGGGGGCGTGGAAGGTTAGTGGACGATAGGACGATAGTACGGAGACATGGGAATCCAGAAAGTTCCTGAGATGACGCAAATCTGAAGTAAAAGAAAAAAAAAAAAAAAAAAAAAAAAAAAAAGGTAAAAAAAAGGTAAAAAAATGAAAGAATACCGAACTCCATTTCCTATCGGATCTATACCCCTACTCGGGTATAGTAAGTGAGGCAATCCCCAATGGTTGCCTTGTAAGCGTCTGGTGTCAATTTCCGAGAGTTGGGGGAAACTAGAAACTAGACTCCATATTAGTATAAAAAGGGAATAGAGTGAAATACAAAAAGAGAAAGGGCAGAAAGGAAGAAAGGAAGTCTGAATTGTCCAAAGTTTATTGGGAATGTTGTGCATCACCAAATCTTCCCCGTGTCCCGGCAAAAGGGGCCGTTGCCGTTGACCGTTAGGGGTAATTGGGACCGCTTCCCAGCTAAGAAATAGTCCGTGGGGGGGAGGGTCTTTGACTTTTAGCACCCTTTTAGCCCTTGTACCATATAGAACTTGATATATTTGATGCCATTGAACAGGGTAACGCAAGAGAAGACATCCGAAGAATCAACTTAAAGAATCCTTTCACCCATTTTGTGTGACTTGGATGCCCACGGCGCTGAAAATGATGTCATTCAAAATATTAATAAAAAAAAATAATAAAAAAATAAATGAAGATAAAAAAAAAGGTAAATAAACATAGTAACCAGGTGACAACGTTCTCTATCAATTTGATGCCCCATGATCGGATCAAGCGGAAAGGGATCCGGTCATTCCCTTCTTAGGACGTGAGCTTGAGAAAGCCGTGTGGATAGCTTTGTTTCTGTTCAAGCTCCGAGGTCACGGGATAAAGAATCCGCCTTAAATAAGCAGCGAAGATCGGTTTAGTGTCCAGTCCAGAGACCCTGCCCTAAAATGGATTGAAATGGGAAAATAAATTGGCGATTTCATAAGATAGGCGAGCTCTGGCGCAGCTGAAGCGCCTCTTCTTGGCAAGGATTTGGTTGATCTTCGAAGGCATACCGGAAGTGTTCCATGATCTCCGCGGATTCGGATCTAGGTACTCCATACTCCGTATGTGGATAAGTACGGAGGCGCTTGTCAATTTACGATAGATCTTTATGTGTTGTCATGCAGTTCCCGAGGTCGCGTCCGAAAGAGTTTCAAGAGCTGTCAGTCTTTTGTGCTGCAGTAACCCGCTATTGTCTATTTTTTTTCTTTTTCTTTTTCTTTTTTGAACGAATCATTGGACATAATAAAAAGACAATTGCGGTCTGATAGATCCAGTGA